GACGACTTCCTTCGTATTGCTGAGCTTTGTAAGATGCTGATTGCCATTCAAAATGAGAATGTGAAATCAAAAGTTTAACAGCCTCGCACGTCACTTGCTGAGCTCGCTTTCATAATTCTGTGTAGCAAGAGAATAAAAAGTGCGTTCGTCAAAGCTGAGATTAAAATGTGACAAGTTTGAGCAAAAGACTTTCATTATAATTTTTTAGATGTTGAATTCTTCCCGTTTGACGACCAACGGTGCAGCCTGACGTTCGGCAGTTGGACGGTAGGTCTTGCTGTAATTCTTTAAATTACTTATTAGTGGTGAATTATCCCTACATTGTTGATGAGTTGGCTTCTACACGAGATTGTGGGAAATCATAAATATTGGGTACTTGCTGGGACTGCTAAAGCTTTTTCTGGAAGATCACTATTCCTGCACGTCGGTTTGGCAATGAATTTGGCAACAATGAAAAAGCTTTTTTGTGGGCGCTCCCATTAGCGTCTTCCTGCATTCAGTGGATCCTTTGTAATACATTGACGGGGATAAGGCATCCATCAAGAGCAATTTTAGCACGGTGACTGGGTGATTTTTCAAAAGCGAGATTCCTTTCTCTCAATATCAGTGACCTCACTTCTATCCTTATTCTGCCAGACTGAAATTTCCAGCAATTGTTTGGGGTTATACAGACATCAAAAGAAACACAGGAGCTATGAAAATTCTGCTTTGAAGAATTGCTGCTCGCTTATTATACACGCCAAATTTCCGGAAGCGCCCCATAAAAGGCAACTTCTCCAACCGCAAACAGATCAAATACGTCCCCGCTCGCTTAAAGGACGTTGGACTATGTGATATGGACATTAGTGGGAGCAAGGGCGCTAAGAAAAGGAGCTAAATATGGATGCAACCTGTTTTACACTCATCTAAGTGCTCATTTTCTTCTTTCTTTCCCCTTTCCTCTTCATAACTTTTTCTGGTCAATGATGGATCGTTCCTATTTGCCATAAATAGGCAAAAGAAGGTGCTACCGTCTCGCAGTAGCCACCTACAGGCTTGGAGGAATGCCCAAATAAGAAAATGGGAATGAGAGTGATGGAGAGGCTTTAACTGCGTGACTAACAAATTGGTAGTTGTGCTTAGCGATTCAGTTGAGCTCATACTCATCCCTGAATCGGGAGAGGTGAAGCCAAATGGACACAACCCTTCAACCAACTGTGTCGTTAAGTCCCAGAGCGCGTACCAATAACCTGTTATGAAAGCAGCATCGCGCAATATCTTCCAGATGAATTATTTTCGGCGGAATCCACGTCCATTCCTTCTGGCATCAAAAAGTAGCCTTTTAGTACAGTCGTAACGAGGTCCAATTGGACTTCTTGCACGCGGATCGGGTAGACTTCTCCGAATATGCGACATCGTCAATATGGGACATGATGGACGCGCCAGCGGTGCTCACCGAGGATCGAAGTCGAATCGAGTTTCAGGTCAGAATAAGGTCAGTTCAACTTGCGGGAATAGGATAAAACCTCATTAGCCCTACTAGAATCTTCTTTTCCACCAAAAATTCTTAACAATAATTCTCATTCAGGAGGAAAACTTTGTTCTACACTGTCGTGTGATTCTGCCGACGGTACTCATGGCATTCTTGAATGTCACTGTCTTCTACCTTCCGACAGCATCAGGTAACTATAGATGAAACCCCATCTGCAGCCTTTTTAATAGCTTCTTCTAGTGAATTCAGAGCTGGTATTTTGTCAAAAGATAAAGGTCAAAAAGGATAAAGCATTTGCCGTTGATCAATCCCTTTTTGGGATGCGGCACGCATTCTACTTCCATTTGTACATTCGCAGTGGCGTTTGAATGCGATGTGGCCTATACAATGACTTGCGGGGGCCAGCCGATGTACAAGTCAGTGTTTTTATCCTCCCAGACAAGTCTGGTACAAAAGCTGACTGCCTAGGGTATGAAAGGCGTCGTTTGATCCGATTGGCGCAACGATGCCAAGCAATTTCGAACCCGGACGCTCAGCGAGTGCGTAAGCGTGCCACTCTCCGCTAAACACTGCCGCCTATATTGTCAAAACACATATAAAAATGAATATTCCGCTTAACCTCCACATCAGACGGGCTAGCGCTTTTCGAAAACGCTAGAGACCCATCATTCAACATGAGAGTTACCGAAAAGAGGGATAAATTAAAGTGCGGTCTGAGTAGTCTGGAAAAAAATTCACTGTCATTCAAAAGGAAATTGTGCAAGTGGAGACTGAAGAGGAGAGATCGATCTTGAAGCACATTAAACACGTACTCGGAAGGATTCGTCAAAATTCACGGAATGTGTGCAAGGGCTAATTAAGTGGGTCTTTGATGACGAGCTGTCTGCCTCACGAGTTTCCGTTGCAAAATCTCGTTTATTCGGGTTTGCTCTTGCTTTAGGAGTATTTGGATCTACTTCATAAGAAAAAGGAGATGAGTATTGTGGTAGGAATGTAGAAGGAAAGCTCCCCTGGAGTAACTCTTCCCTTAATCTCATGGAGAACATCACCTCAATAGGTTTGAGGTGTTCAGGATGTGCAGCATGTTCAGCATGGAAATCCTATCACCTTCCAAGTTTCGTCTCTTGGTCTGTGAGACGACTAGGCCGGGGAGCGCGGGAAGCGGGCCATATTATGGTGGAAATCAGTTTTTGGAGTTTCCAGGATTTTCCACAGAAACTTTAGCGAATGTTATAAGTTTCTGGATGTGCGTGCTTACTTCTATTGGCCCTCCGCCCGACGCGACTCTTTTCGACATTTTGCCAGGAAGTGTTTGTGACGTTTGGAAAAACGAAGAAGAGAGGCAGAGAGCAAATGTTAGGTGCCGCCGGGCCTGTGTACAGCAGATACCCGGCTGAGGACGGGTGCCGCAGAACTCTGAGTTATCCTCTACTTTGGTCAACGGACGCCGTCGTGTTGCACAGAATATTGTAGTCGAGGATACGTCTAGAGATGCCCAGTTTTGGGGACCCATTCCCAACCGAGTACTGCTATCCACTACCTCTGGTTGTCGTTATGCTTATTTGGCCTGCATATAGCTACCCTGTAAGAAATAAAATAAACTCGACTGGTGGGTAGTTGATGATTGGTGTTTCCCAAACTCTAAGCTAGCAATCTTGATTTATATCTTGCGCACAGATGACCAATATGTTAAAGGAGGAATTCACGATTAGAATGAAGGTCGAAGAAAGGGAAACTGACCTAGTTGAGGGACCCACGGACCTCCTGAGGGTGCGAACTGACGCGCAATTCGCATGGAAAAATTTGACCTCGGCGACCTATCATGCCTCAAAGCTGGCGGGTCCGGCGATCTCCGCCCACCGATCATCTGATCACTCGCCGTAGTTCAATACGTGGCGAGTGATTAGATAGCTGAGAGAGCGTAGTGTTGAAGAGGGCACAGCGATGAGAGTCGCATCAATGCTCGAATCAACGGGCAAGGAAGGGGTACCATTTCTCGGGTTCTGGGCCGTTTCTCATGGTTCTTCCTTCTTTCGTGTACCACTCACCATCCCTAGGTTAATTTGAAATGGGTTGCTTTTTCATCGTGAATTCGTCCTTTAAGACATTGGCCTGGGAGTGTGCACTGGTGACGGGATAGATCTTGGTTTAGTCTTATGTTTTTTACATCGGTAATTCCAGTTTAAATCCTAGAGAATTTGAGGTACCAGTCCACAACGCATGAGATTAGAATTACCGGTAGGTTTAAACCAGTATGTTTAAGCAAGACTTATTCTGAGGATGCCATATGTTGACCTTCACTGTATCAACCCTCCTATGTAGTACCATGTGAGAATTTCAGGCGAGAAGATGGGTTTGACGATGAATGTGTTGCTGTCAATTGTTGTGTTCTTGCTGCTGGTATCAAAAATTCTTCCGCCGACGTCTCTATCCATTCCCCTCGTCGCTAAATATCTGCTGCTCACCTTTGTGCTCAATATCATCACATTTTCCTGGATCACCAGTCGTCATCATGTAACATCTATTTCCGATCTCCATCACTCGTTCGTCTACGCCTCCCACCATGGAGTTCGAAGCGTCTTTGTCTAGATGTTAGTTTTTTTGTTGAGGGTACTGAGGCCTTTTTCTATTACTGTACTCTTACTTTTAATTTTTTAGCTAGTTGGTGACAAATTAAGGCACTAATAGAATTATAATAATAAACTTGTAAGCAAAACAATAAACAATAGTAAAGTAGCGAATAAATGAATACATATATGATTAGAGATTGCATATTGTTGTTTGATGTTAATGATTCACGATTATCGGTGTGACTTGATTAACAAGTTCAAAGATGAGAAGAAGAAGTTCTCTGAGATATGTCGGCACATTGTTTGAAAGTTGCTTTTGGAAGGCGTACTTGTTTATGCACGATAACAGTTAATCATCCAACAAGAAAAATAGACTTTTCAGTGCGTTACCGGTTGTTGACTGTGCTAGTGCAACGGCCAAGGCGACCAAGGAATGTTTAGCATAGAAGAAAGAAAGAGGCTAGAAGCCATCAGGTCATTGACGCTCACCGCCAGAATTCATCACCCACACCTGCAGCGGGCCGACGACACATGCTCAGGTATGGTCTTCTCTGTTCATTCTCTCAGCAACCACCATGGCTTGAAGTTTTTACTTGTTGAAATATTTTTTCTGGTCGTTGCAAAGATCTTGATCCTGGCCATGAAATTCATGGCTGTGATGTCTCTCTTCAACCTGCCCTCTCTTCCAGTTGGGAGGATAAAGGAACGAAATGGGTGGACGTCAGAGCGTTCAGCTTCAGCACTCGAGCGATCCCTCTTCGGCGATGATCGTTTAATCAGAGGAAAGCAAACTTCCTCGGCCAATCATAGTCAACTAACAACAAGGGTCCGCTTATGTCCCTTGCAGAAAAATGGAGTTTTTCGAAAGTGTAAGATGCAGAGTAAAGGGAATAAGAAGAATCACTAGTGGTACTTGTGGACCCCGAGCACATCCAAAATAATTTTACTGCATCCCGTGCGGCTGCTGAAAATATCCTATCATTTCGAGAAGAGAAAAAAGGTTGGAAAAAGGCTCCTCATAAATTTATTTTAGGGGAAAATATGGCAGTTCGAATCATGATCTTCAAAAATGACCCTAGAGCTTCTCTTCATGGTTTTCGAAAGGTTTTATGAGCTTGCCGTCTTTGCCGTGGATGTTGTAGCTGGCAGGTTGGTTATCCGTTGGAAAATCGAAGAAATTGTGGCGATCTTGCAAGAATGCCGCCAGTTTGTGAATTTTCGCCGCGACCATGCCGGCAACAGTCAAGCCATTGGAAGCCGCGATATCAGCTGCTGGAGGCAATTCCGTTCACCAACTCATCAGCAACACAGAACAGGAAACGATCGTCAATATTCGTAGCACTAACCAGAGCAAAGCCGCAAACGTCCTGCCTTCGTTTCTGACCAGGCTTAAAGGCAATGATGTAACGCGATTCAGTGCCTTACAGAAGGACGACCGGATCGTGCTGCAGTTTGCGCCCGCCCGCACTAAAGTCGCCAGCGAGGTGATGGAGGTACATACTTTTATGTTTTGCTTCGCTGACTGATGTTTTACTGATTTGCTGATTACTGTTTGCTCTGATTGATCCCTTTGAAGGAGGATTCCACGATAAAAACGAAGGTCGAAGAAGCGGAAAGTTAGTGGAGAGACAGCGGACCTCCTAAGGATGCGGACCAACACGCAATTCGCATCGAAGGATATGCCCCGGCGATCTAGCATGGCCTTCCCTTTGGCGCAGTTGGCCCGGAACGCCCACCGACTATCTAATCACTCGCCGCAGGTCTATACGCGGCGAGTGATTAGATAGCAGAGAGAGCGTTAGCGTTGAAGAGGGCACAAAGATGAGAGTCGCATCAATGCGCAAATCAACGGGCA